GGGACTAAAATGACTATTCCACCTTTTGATTCTCTGAGAAACTTTGGGGCAGAGGAAGTTACAGAGCAAGACTTATTGATGGAAAAAAATACAGGAAGTGGTAATGAATGGCGAGGAAGATTGAAGTCTTATGGAAGATGGAGAAATCTGGGATTTACTCTACAAAATCCATGTATAGGTGGAAGACCTTCTGAGGCGGTTCTATGCAAAAGAAGAAATTGTGGAGCAATAGGATGCCCCTAAAGCTGACAGTTCTGGAACAATGAAAATGGAAAGGGGGATGCTAATTGCGCCATCTGTAATTGCCCAGAAATTGTAGATCATGTTTTCCTTTTGTGTTTTAGCTAAATTCTGTTGGGTGGTCATCAAAGACGCACTACGATAGGATAGGACACCTACAAATATGCAATATTTCCTAGATGAATGGTTAATGCTAGGGGTAAAAGATTATAACCTGAAGCTGTTCTCTTTTCGGTGGTTACTTGAGCATTGTGGACAACTCGAAAAATAAAATGATGATTGAGAAAAATTTCCAAAATCGCCAACTGAAGTGTTATTCAAAATGTCCAACTACTTGCAGAGATGGAAGATTCTACTGAGGCTGGCGGAGAAATCAAAGGTGGAACAGATGGGCAGCGACGGAGTACTTCCTGAAGAACAAGAAGCCTCGAGATATGGAGGAGCTGCTGTAAGGGTTGCGTGAGAGGGGAGAGCGCCTTTTCTTTTCCAATCTTGTCCGGTGGCCTGTGTGTTGCGTTTGCTTTTGGGAGTCTAGAATCTTTCTTAGCAGTTTGCTGCTGTTAGTGGTTTTCTCCTGCTTTCTTTGTAAGCTGGTCTCCCCAGCAAGTGGAAGACATTGTAAACACATTTGGTTTCTTATAAGCACGGTTATACTTTGTCAAAAAAAAAAAGGTGCCAGTGAAAAAATAGGTCGAAATCATCTACAAGTTGTAGAAAAGTGGTATTTTAAGGATTGTGAAAGAGGCTAAAAACAACAAGTATTTAGAACTGGAGGAGCAGCCAATATGGTAGTAATTTTTTTTGAGACGACGCCTTTCGACACGTATTCCATTAAGCAGAAAGAGAGTTTTAAGCGAAACAACAAACTCGGTAATACTCTGATTACCAAGGCCAACACACACGCACCTACCGGACAACACAGGGTACTACATGATTGAACTAAATTTAAGAACTCCACGGGACTGCGCTCATCGTCCAGACAGAAGGATGCCGAGCTGCCTGTACCCAGCCATTCGCGAGTCCTCCGCGACGAGGCAAATGTCCACGGCGAGCTCCCTCGTTGTACGTGTACTGCCATCGAAGGTCCTCGCGTTCCTTTGTTTCCAAAGCATCCAACCCATCAAGAACACGATGGAGTCAAACCCGCGCCTGAAGTGCTTGTCGACGCGCTTCCTATTGGACAGCCACCACTCCATGAATGGTTGCGGACGAACATCCACATTAGACAAAGTGAAGCCAGTCCATCCAGGTCGCCCAGACCTCGCGGCTGTACGCACAGCCCAGCAAGATGTGATCAATTGTCTCTGGCTCCTGGTCGCAGGTGATGCAAGCGTCCGTTGGTTGAAGGCCATGGCGGTGACGACGCTCGCCGGTCCAGCATCTATCCTGCAAAGCCAGCCAATAGAAGAAGCGGACACGGGGCGGCGCAGCCGTCTTCCACAACTGTGCAGCGCCTCTGACCGGCGAAGAGCCAAGGAACATGGCCCCATAAGCAGATGCGGCCGAGTAGTTCCCGGTCTCAGTTAGGTGCCAAGAAAGGACGTCCGGATCGGATGAGAGCTGAATATTCTCTAGCAAATCACATAGCCTCCCAAACTAAAGAAGCGTCGTCATGGAAACTGCGCCAGACAGATGACGTACCCAAGCGTTACCGTTTAGAGCCTCGGACACCGACGCCCTCCTCTTCCTGGGGCGAACTGCCGCAAAAACGGCGGGGGCAAGCTGCACGATGCTTGATCCATTGAGCCACCGGTCTGTCTAGAATAGAGTGGACTCACCATTGCCCACTGTAAACGTGGTCGCAGCCTGGACGATGCCGCGCTTCCTGTCCCGCCAAATCCATCTGACCCGCAGCGCCAGACCAGCCCGTCGCAGGTCCGCAATGCCCAGGCCGCCCAGCTCCTTGGGCCGGCACACATTGATCCATGCAACCTTGCATTTGCCTCCTGCAACCTTGTCCGACCCGGTCCAAATAAAGGCATGCCGCAGTTTATCAATCGCCGCAATAGCCCAAGGGGACAGGCCAAGGGCAATCGAAGTATGGACCGGTATCGCAGAGAGTGTGCACTTGACCAGTGTGGATCGGCCGGCCACGTTGAGCAGCCAACCCTTCCAACCCGGGATGCGTGCAGCGATCTTGTCTATCAAAGGCTGCTCGTCGGCCCTCTTCAGCTTGTACACCGACAGCGGTATTCCCAAATAGCGACAGGGGAACTCTTGCACCTTGCAAGAAAGGATGGTGAGCACCAACTCCATGTCAGTCTCCGTGCAGTGCAGCGGCGTTGCCAAACTCTTGTCAAGGTTCGCGAACAAACCAGAGGCACGTCGGAAGGTGTTCAAGATTGCCTTAATGGTCAGCAGGCTGCGCTCCTCCGGTGCCACAAAAATGACGAGGTCATCAGCATACAAGCTGGCCCTTGCCGTGACCAACCCAGGTACCTGTGAAAGAAATCGCCGTTCCTCAGCCCACTGCAACATGTGGTTGAGCACCTCCATCACCAGCACGAAGAGCATCGGTGACAACGGATCGCCCTGCCTCAATCCTCTAGCATGGCATATTCTCCTCCCCGGCCTTCCATTGAGGAGAATTTTAGTGCTGGACGTCGCAAGGATGGCTGACACCCAATTCCTCCATCGTAACCCAAAGCCCATGTGGGTTATAACATCGAGCAGGTAAGTCCAGGAAACCGAATCAAACGCCTTAGCAATGTCAATTTTAAGCAAAACACATGGCGACCTTTGCCTGTGGATCTCCTTGCACGCCAGCTGCACGTCTCTAAAATTGTCATGAATGCTGCGACCCTTAATGAAGGCACTTTGGTTCCTCAGGACCAAACGGTCGAGATCACCAGCCAGCCTGTTTGCCATGCACTTGGTGATGAGCTTCCCGAAGCTGTGGATAAGGCTGATTGGGCGGTAGTCCTTGATCTCCGAAGACTGATCGTTCTTTTTAAGTAAAATCATATGAGCGTCATTTAGATGCTGAAGACTCCGGAAGTCTTGCGCCCAGAAAGCGTTTATAGCTGCCATAACCTCATTCTTTATGATGGGCCACGCCACCTTGTAGAAAAGCCCAGTGAAGCCGTCCGGACCCGGCGCCTTGTCCGGCGGCAGGTCGCGTATGACGGCAGCGACTTCCACCTGAGTGAAGAGCATCTCCAAGGCCTGCAGGTCCAAGGATGGCAGGCCCAGCGCCGCCATGTTCATCCTTCGCGATCTGGTGAAGTCGGTGCCAAGCAGAGCGACGTAGCACTGATGACCACATGGCTTCTTGTTTTCATCAGGCTCAAGGCTGTAGGGTTGCTTCTCACACTGACAAACAAAATATTTTCATTTACTTAGCAGGGAAAAAATAGAAATTTCAAATGCAAATGATCTGTTTACTTACTGGGAATACCAAATTCTGTGAGCAACCATGGAGGCGGCAATCAAAAACCTGAGTGAACAAATGTCCTAGGTAAATCTCAACCTTGAAAGTTTAGTTGAACCAATCGGCAAAACACAGCCTTGAAAACAGGAAATAAAAGCAACAGAATGCCAGAAGTGGAATGATACCAAGCATCTGCAGCAGAAGAGATTATCAAAAGAATCCAGAATGGCATCCATAGTTTTGTCCAGAGAAAGTTGGCTCTCTATCTTATCTGAAGATGCAGAGTTCTTCTCATTTTTCTCAAATAGAACTTCAGATCTTTCCTGTCATTTTAAGGAAAAAGCAGAGTCGCTATCAAATTTTGGGCATCTTATAAGTTGAACAAATGTAGGGACAGTTAATATTTATGGTATACAAGTCACTTCACTAACTTAAAAATATTATTAAAAAGTGAAAAGTGAAAACATATACAGAGCTAAATTGGATAAGTTTTAAAATTATGAGTGCATCTTCTAGCTTCAGAAGGACGATAGTGCGGTCCGAATCTACCAGCTCGTAGCTGGGCCCTTGGGCCAGCACTGGAACCGAAAGAACAAAGGCGGGCTTCTGCCCCGGCCCCCGGTCTCCCCCTACCCCGGTCCACTCTACCTTTTCCTTCACCTTTTGATCGACGCCGACCGTCTCTCACGGCCCCGGACCCCACCGGAGAACCAAGATACACAGTCACACAGCACGTTAGCGTTAAAGACGTGACAGTCCTATAATTGCAAATATGCTTTTCTGCCACAGCCCACAGTGGCCCTCCTAGCCGCCGCCGGCCGGCAGGCATCCGGTGCTGTCCTGGCAAAAGCCAACCCCGCCCACACTCTCGTGCTCCTCGGCTACCCGATCGGCCGATCCCAGCGTCACGGGAAACTGCGCCCCCTGGCAAGGCCGCGACGATTTCCCGGACCACATCGCACGACGACGCTAGATGCCATCCATCGCCCAGAGGCCAGAGCCAAGCCCCTTTCGAATCTCACAGATCGACCAACGGTGGCCGGCCGCGTTAATACTGACAAATCCCAAAGATTCCGTTCCCAAACCGCGCCAGTGCTGCTCGCCAAACAACCACCGGAGCCTCACCTAAACCGCTATAATTTTTATTCTGACCAAGGCTTTAGTTTCTTACCCGTCAACCAAATTCGTTTCATTAATTCATTTGGTCAACAAACCAAAGCTCTTTATCTAAAAAACAAGAGTTAAATGCACCAGAGGTTCATTAACTTGTGAGGAGGTTTCGGTTACGTCCATCAACTTTCAAAGTGACTTTTTGGATCCATAAATTTTATACGTCGTATCATCTAGATCCATACATCTCCACGTTGGCTTCTCGTGCTGACGTGGCATGATGCCGTGGCCATGCAGCCCAGCCGCAGCCCCGCGGGCGCACGAGCAGAAGCCGGTGGACGGAGCCGCAGCCCCGTTGGGCGCCTACGACCTCAGATCGTGGCGCCGCCTCTTCCTCACACGCCTCGACGTGCCAGGTGGGTCTCTCGGCCGCACGATTGCCCTCCCTGTTTGCTGATTATTGTAGGATCGCGCGCCCTGTTTGTTTGGCTAGAGGGAGCAGCCACCACTCGCTGACGGGTGGGCCTCCGTCTGCGCCGCCGCCAGAATTCGATCGGTTGGATCAAAGATTTTGTCCGGAATGTTTCATGGAAGGAATTAAATTTTGTCTAGACTTCCATGAATGTTTCACTTGTTCAATGCTGAACAGGACGTAAAAGAGAAAAACAAACAGCAACAGCAGAAATTCCTACTCCTAGTGAAGTGAAACTTACGTATCAGTGTAAATTTGGGAAGTTTTAAGAAATCATGTTAAATTTTACACAACCATGTGTTTTATGTAATTTCAATACATGAATTTTTTTGCACTATATGATTAAGATTCAACACCCTCTATCCTTTTTCTACCTTCAGCCTTCTTCTACCTTTACACAATCACAGAATCATAGATTCATAGATCACAGGAAATACTTTTTTTTATGGAAGGATAAATCATAGATCCACCACTGCCGCAGGTCACGGTCGCTACAGGTAGCCGCTGCCGGCGCCCAGGCTGCTCGCCCTCATGGCGTTGGTCTATGACAGATCGTGCATGACAGGCGTCATATCTGGTCACTTTTGCTCGCTGCTAAAACACACATGTGTTGTATACTATTTCTATAAATTTTCGCAGAACGAGCGTTATCGTTCAGGACACATGAATTTTGTTCTTCAGTCGCTTTCAGCTAGTACTGGTATTCTAGATTTTCTTCGGTGGACATTCAGAAAGTTAGACCGCTTGGACGTCTCTCATTTCCTGTGGATAAATCGTTTCGATTCCTCTGATATTTCGATAACGGACAACCTATCCTGTCATTTTGGTACTACTAGAGTGAATTCGTAATTCCAAACGTGCAGACTAATTTGGTACTTTGTACGCATCAACTTCATCGAATTCCCTAGCATGTTCCTAGACTTCATGATGTGCATGCCTGCATGCTTTCTGTTCCCCTTTTCCCCCTGATCTTACACTCCCCTAATGAAAATTTGGTGGTTTGCTATATTCAGCCAGCAGAAACTTAAATTTTGTCCATAACTTGCAGACCTTTATGACCGATCCTGTTTGATTTGCAGGTGAATCTACATTCCCCGACGATGTCGCCGCCGACGAGGACGGCAACGCCTACGTAACCGACGCCAAGGGAAGCAAGATCTGGAAGGTCAGCCCGGACGGCGTGCTGCTCGGCGTCATCAAGAACGCCACGTTCATGCAGCGACCGGGGCTGCGGCACAACTTGGTCGGCCTCAACGGCATCATATACCACCCTAACGGCTACCTTCTCGTCGTCCACACCTCCGGCGGCGACCTTTTCAAGGTCGCCCCGAAGACAGAGAGCGTGCGCGTCGTCAAGGTGCAGGGGTCGCTGAGGCAAGGGGACGGACTTGAGCTGCTCTCCCCGACGCGGCTGGTTGACGCCGGCATGCCGAATTGGCTGGTGGAGAGCTCCGACGACTGGGAGACCGCGAGCGTCACCGCGCAGTACGTGGGGCCCATCCACCGGGTCGGGTCGTCGACCACGGTAAAGGACGGGGACGTGTACATCAACCACATTCTCGGGTTCGGGCTCGGCAAGAAGAAGACGCACGTCCTTGCGAGGGCGGTGTTCTCGCCGTTGGCCGCAGCGAGTTGACGGCCGGCGCCTCAGCGCGCGCTCCGTCGTGGGATCTAGCAGTCGCTTTTTGCTTAAGCGGCAGTTCATATAGTTCCATACAGTTACAGACTATACGTACTTCAGTGTGATGATAGAGATGCTCATACTTTTGTTTTGACACGTTGCTCGAAGCTGCACGATTGTTCTGTTTGATGCATGCAAAACATGTACATGGATCCTTTCTTGGGTCAATTCTGACTTTCTGAGTTAGGCTGCCGTGACAAGTAAAATCGACGTCTTGGTCGACCTTGAAGATTTTTCGGCCCGCCGGCCACACAAAAGGGTGAATTGGGATGTGTGACTTTGGTCAGTGGCAACTGGTATACATCCGCTGCAGGCATGCAGCAGTCCAAGTCAGCTCCCGAATTGCTTTATTTATGCTCATCAGTGTGCAAAATATTAGGCTAAAGCGGCACTATATAACATGTCGTAAAAGTTCGTATTCCACGGCTGCCGTTTTATCCACTACATCAACCACGGCAAGCTTTTGCAGCTAAACAAAGCTTCAGGGCGAATGAATTAAGCTTCACGGCGACTCATGCTACAGTGTTGGGAGGAGGCGAAGAGCTTCGCAACTGTTGTGGCTGCAGCCTTAAGTGCATCGTTAAATTGCATTCTTACTGTTGTGAATTGCGACTAGCTCCTGGGGAAAATATTGCTCAATTATTTAACGAACTCAGAATCAGCGAGTTACTTTCCGTCACATGTCCTTCCTGTCGTATGAACTGATCATGCTAACTCGCCAGCGCAGCACCACAAGTCCACAAGCTCCCGTTCATCACGTCACCGCAAGATCCACAGGCCCACGGCTCACTTCGCTCCCTCGCCAAGGCCAAAGAGTCGCCATTGCCGTGCAAGTGCAAGCAACTGCTTCCCCGTCCGGCCGTCACCCAACCCTCCCAGCCGCCCGCAGTCCCGACCAATGGAGAGGCAGAGGAGCCCCTCCACCTGCTCCAGGTCGTACCACTGCCACCTGCTAAGTCCAAAGAGCCTCCTCCTCGTCTCCTTTGTCTCCTTGTCCCTCCTCGTCCCCTTTCTCCTGGCCTTCCGCCATGGCCATCTGCTCCACCTCCCCTTCGTGTTCGCCACAGCCCCGGCACCGGTTCTCGTGGGTGGCGGGGGTTACTAGGGCGACCCAGCGGCGGTGGAGGTTGAAGAGGCGGTTCTTGGGCTCGGGAGAGGGGAATCGGCCGCGGAGGGAGCCCGCCCCGCTGTTCCCGGAGACTTGTCGGTGCGGGAAGCTGTTGTTAGAATCGTGGTGTACCTTTCTGTGTAACCGTAGATCCGGGTAAGGCTCCTCACCTTAGCGTAGTTGGGCCGTAGCAACGTAGACGCCAAGTTTGCCCTGGATGCCGCCTCGCGGACGTCGGTGCTCGGCACGGTGGTGAGGAGGCGAGGTGGCGATCCAGTGGACTGGTGGAGACCCTGCAGAGGCGACGGCGGTGTGGTGGGGCATCCCGTCGCTGGCAGCACACTGTAGATCGGCTTAGGGTTTCTATCGGTGGGATCATGGCGGCTCAGACCAACCTCGTGACTCGAGCCGTGATCCCCACCTATCTTTATCTGTGCTGTGCGACAGGGGCCCACCAACCTATTAGGGTTGGGCGCCCCGATCAGGGCGTAGAGGCAAGGGCCCAATAGGCCGTTGGGCCTATTGGTGGAGATCAACTAACATTCTTCCCCTTGATCTCATTCCATCTTTCAATTTTATATCATTTATTTTTGTTCATTCCATTACAGATTAGCGTATAGAGCGTGTCTCATCGTCACGGTCCATTGCCGATAGATTTAACAGCTACAACACACTACTCTGTTCTGAAATAGATACTTATCTTTGGGTCTTCTTTTGTCTAGGAATTTTAGACTTTCCCTTAAATCCATGCTAGCTACATGTTCTCTGAACACCATGTTCTATGAACACGTTGGGTGGTAAGTCTTTTGTAAGCGGATCCGCGAGCATTTTTTTTTACTTATATGCTCAAGACTTATGACTTGATCCCAAACTTTATCTATCACAACATAATACTCTATGTCAATGTGTTTGGCAGCACCACTTGACTTATGTTGTGAGCATACTATACTGCCAGATTATAATCGCAGTATAACTTAAGTGGTCTATAGATGTCGTCAACCACCTTCAAATCGGGTATGAACTTTTTTAGTCAGTTCACCTGCCCCGTTGCCTCATATCACGCTACAAACTGGCATACATTGTGGACGATGTAGTGACGGTTTGCATTTGAGTTTTTCCATGAAATAGCTCCCCTTTTTTAGAGTGAATACTATCCCGTCGTGGATTTTCTATCATCTCTCGCATAATCAGAATTTGAATTTCCCACTATGTGGAGTGAATCAGATCTTCTATACGTCATCATGAGGCATTTCGTTCCTTGCAAATAATGCAAGACTTTCTTTACCAATTTCCAATGTTCTGTTCTAGGATTGCTCTATAATCTGTCAAGTAACCCAGTAACAAATGTCAAGTCAGGGCGCGTACATACTTGAGCATATTGTAAGCTTTCGACAGCTGAAGCATATGGAACCACTTTCATTTGATTGAGCTCATATTGGTTCCTGGGGCATTAAAAATCCCCATATCTGTCGCCCTTGACTATAGGAGCAGGTGAGGGACTACATTTGTGCATACTGAATTTCTTTAAGATTCTTTCTATGTATGCCTTTTGTGACGGTCCTAATACCCCTTTTCTTCTATCTCGCTGAATCTCGATCCCTAGAACGAGCGAGACTTCACCAAGATCTTTCATATCAAGTTTTGAGGACAAAACTTCTTTGTCTCCTGTAGTAGACTGACATCACTACTATCAAGTAAGATATCATCCACATACAGGACAAGGAAGATAAACTTCCCATTCTTAAACTTTGCATAGACACAATTGTCCTCTACATTCTCTTTAAAACCCAAAATTCTTTATTGTCTGATCAAACTTTAAGTACCACTGTCTTGAAGCTTGTTTTAATCCATAAATGAATTTCTTTAGGTGGCATCCCATTCGTTCTTTTCCTTCCATGACAAAACCTTTCGGTTGTGCCATGTAAACATTTTTCTCCAAGTCCCCGTTGAGAAATGTCATCTCTACATCCATCTGATGTAATTCTAAATCGTAATGTGCCACTAATATCATTATGATTCTGAAGGAATCTTTACATGAGACTGGAGAAAATGTCTCATTGTAATCAATCCTTTCTCTTTGCATAAAGCCTTTTGCCACAAGTCGCGCTTTATATCTCTCTATATTCCCTTGAGAGTCAGTTTTATTTTGTAGACCCATTTACAGTCTACTGTTTTGGCTCCTTTAGAAATTATATCCAAATCCCAAACTTTATTGACATTCATTGATTTCATTTCATCTTCCATGGCCTCAAGCCACTTTGATGAATGATCACTACTCATGGCTTCTTCAAACAAGGTGGGATCATCCTCCATTTGAAATTTCTTAGTGTTGTACACTTCATAATCAGCAGGAATAGCTGATTTTCTAACTCTTTGAGACCTTCTAAGGGCCTTCACATTTGGCACATCTTCTGTTTGAGGCTGCTGTTGCTCCTCCTCATGTGTGGCAATAGGTTCTATAGGATCCTGAAGAATAGGTTCCTCATCGTCATTCATTGTTGCCACAGGTGGGATAACAACAGGTGCTGGCACCACAGTATCTAGCACTGTCGGTGCAGCGACAGCAGGTAGTGAGAAAAATGACTCATGAATCATTGGAGTGGGTGCATACAACCGCTTCACTTCAAGGTCAATTTCTCGAGCTACCATGCTCCCCCTCATCAATTCATCATCTAGGAAGACAGCGTGTCTCGTTTCCACAAACTTTGTATATCTCTTTAGACAGTAGAAAACAAAAAACTTTTAACTTTTCTGGGTAGCCAAACAAATGGCAACTTACTATTTTAGGATCTAACTTTCCAATATTTGGGTTAAATACTTTAGCCTCAGCAGGGCTCCCCCACACACTTAAGTGTTTAGTGAGGGTACTCTTCCTGTCCACAACTCATACGGTGTTTTGGGCACCGACTTACTTTGTACTCTATTGAGAATATGAATGTCGGTTTTCAACACCTCCATTCACAGGCTCAACTGTAAGGTGGAGTAACTTATCATACTGCCCACCATATCTATCAGGGTACGATTGATTCTTTTAGCTACTCTATTCTGCTGAGGTTCGTCTGGTGTATAATACTGGGCTACTATGCCATTCTTTTAGGGTATGCCGACCGTAGTACTCCCCCACGGTCAGACCTGACTATCTTAATCTTTAATATCTTAAATTTATCCAATGCTTCTGTTCTTTCTTTAATTGGATAAATGTAGTCATAATGGGAGTAATCATTTATAAATGTTATGAACGAATCATAACCATCCACACTCTTTACAGGAAAATGACCACAGATGTCTGTGTGAATAATCTATAAAATTCTTGTGTTTGTCATCTTTCTTTACATACTTTCCTTTTATGCATTCTAAGAGCTCTAATGGAGGAAGAATATTATTCTTAACTAGTCTTTCTATTCTCCCCCTCGAAATATGGCCTAAACAACAGTGCCATAATTTTGACGACGCATCGTGAGCTCTCTTATGCCATCATTATCAGAGTAACACTCTGTCACCAGCTGCTTTATCAGCTGGGTAGCATATGTCTTTGAAGAGCCAGTGAACTGACTCTTTATTCTATCGAGGTACTCAGCGACCGTGTCACACTCTGGGATTGAGCCCATAATTACAGGCTCAATCGTGTTTTTTATCACAACCAAACATTTCTTGTTAGCAGTGACACACTTCCTATGCTTAAGGGCATATAACATCTTTCGGGATTCAAAATCCCTCTCTTTAGTTGCCCAAACAGCATCAGCCTCGTTTGTCTCCCTCACCGGTGCCACAGACTCAGTGGAACACGGTGAGATGACTACCCAGTTCACCTTAGACAAGATGAAAACCAGGACAAACCTTTTCTTAACATAAAAATAACACTATTTGCATGCCTTGATTCCAACGTTGGTCAAAATCAAAACATACAACTATTCGTATACACTAATTCTACATCACCGTTGGGTAAAAATAGAATTAATGCATAAATCATTAACTTTTACAACTGTTCTCATATACTAATTCTACATCACCGTTGGACAGAAGTAAAATTAATGCATAAATCATTAAAATTATGATATTGTTATTAACAATGTTGGTCAGAAAATAACAACATCATAATCATGTCAAATCTCTTTTTCTCTAATTAAATATCACATTGATTCAAAATAACTGGAGAATAAACAATTTCTTTAGCAGCAGAAAAACTTTCTTTTTCTCCAATTAATATCACGTTGGTACAAATTAACTGGAGAATAAACTATTTCTTTAGTAGTGGAAAACGTATACTCAATTTCTTCAATTTTACCCACAGGAAAAAATTACTTTTTCTATTTTATTTAAGCCATTAATCAATTTCCAGGAAATAAAACCTTTACTGGAAAAAGAAAAACGAAAAATGACTCAAATGCTCACTATTCTTTCAGCCCGGTCGTCAAAACAGCCCGACCCATCTGCCTTGCGCGACGCCCGGCCGCACCCAGGCCGCAACCTAGGCCTAGGCGGGCAAAGTCGCTCGGCCACGCGCGCCTGCCTGGGCCGCATCGCTAGCCCATTCAATCTCGGTCGTCCGATGTAGATCAACGGCTACGCATCGATTTCGCGCGAACAAAACCGCGGCCGCGGCCTCCGACCGGAAACCCTTGGCCATTCTCACTCTCTGCTTCTCTCTCTTCTTCGCCGCTCTCTCCTCTCTCTCTACCTCAGCGCAACTAGCAGCGATCGAGTGAGACGAGCGGCGAAACGGTGGACGCAGCGAGCGAGCGGCAGCCATGGCGCCCTCGCCGGCGTGCGTTCTCCCCAACGAGTGAGCACGCCGCCGTCGAGCGGCCTTGGCCGCAGCGCCCCCTTGGCCGAGCCCAGCAGAAACATCTCCGCCCCCCGGCTTGGCCCTCTTCTACCGCGCGGGCGAAGGGTTCGCCCAGTGCACGGCGAGGTCTCTTTCCATTCTCTTGCTTTTCTTCTTCCCCTTCGGATTTGAGTTATTCTTCTCTTTTCCGAACTGGTGTGGGGAATTAGGGTTTGGATCTTCTTTTGATCGGTTCTTTTCTATTTATACCGAATCTTTCTCTTCCCCTTCTTCATGCGAGTTAGGGTTAGGGTTGAACCCTATTCGCTGTTTTCTTTTGGTTTGATTCAAGATCTCTGATTCGGGTTTTCTTTTGGTTTGATTCGAGATCTACGAGATTATCCCCTTCCCCTCTTCCCCTTCTTTTCTTTTGAATCTGCTTCTTTCTACGGATTCAACCGATTGGGGTACTAGGGTTAGGGTTTTGGGATTTGCACTTTTCTTTTGATTTCTTTTCTTTTTGGAGTTCATCCAAATCGCTTCCCTTCCCCTTCTTCATGCGAGTTAGGGTTAGGGTTCGGTTGAACCTTTTCTTTTGATTTCTTTTCACGGTTTTGATTCTGATTGGGATGAGGATGGGTTAGTTCATCCGAATCGGGTTCACTATTGTTCTTCCCCTTCACCCAGTTAGGGTTAGGGTTGGGAACCACTGTTCTTCTTTCCTTTTACTCCTTTCCTCAGATCCGAACTAGATCTGTTCTGTTCTTGCCGTGCGCCGGTGAGAACGGTGGTGCGGCATCTTTTCCCCACGCGGTGGCGGTGGTGACCGGGGTTCCAGTGACGTCCGCCACCCCCGGTCCCTTTTCTCTTTGCTTTTACCCGGTTAGGGTTACACACTGACAACCTTGCTCTGATACCATTGTTATAATCGTGGTGTACCTTTCTGTGTAACCGTAGATCCGGGTAAGGCTCCTTACCTTAGCGTAGTTGGGCCACAGCAACGTAGACGCCAAGTTCGCCCTAGATGCCGCCTCGCTGACGTCGGTGCTCGGCACGGTGGTGAGGGGCGAGGTGGCGATCTAGTGGACCGGTGGAGACCCTGCAGAGGCGACGGCGGTGTGGTGGGGCATCCCGTCGCTGGCAGCACACTGTAGATCGGATTAGGGTTTCTATCGGTGGGATCATGGCGGCTCAGACCAACCTCGTGACTCGAGCCGTGATCCCCACCTATCTTTATATGTGCTGTGCGACAGGGGCCCACCAACTTATTAGGGTTGGGCGCCCCCGATCAGGGCGCAGAGACAAGGGCCCAATAGGCCATTGGGCCTATTGGTGGAGATCAACTAACAGATGTTACTCCAAGACCAAGAGGGAATGACAGAGCACCCTCGAATGGAGAGGTTTCCAAAGGGCAAAAGATCGTGGAAGCTGGAAACCACTCTTTTGGTTTTGGAGGCTTGGATTCGGCTGTGGAGGTGAAAGAAGCTGCTCCTGAAGGTGGAGGTGGCGAGAGGTTTCCAAAAGATTCGATTTCAGAGGGACCAATCTTAGCAGAAGGCAGGAATCTTAGCAAAGAAACTCTTGGTTTGCCAACTGCATCAGCAGAGAAATTGGAGGGAACAGGGTCTGCGCGAGCTCTCAATTTCTCCATACAAGCTTCAGGTCCCTCAAAGGGGTCGAGAGACGAATTCTTGCAAGATGGACATGTTGATGATAGGCCTAATTCATCTGTACTTGGAGCTTATTCATCTGAACAAGGGGAACGATGGGAAAGCTCAGATCATTCAACAGTGAGGTACAAAGCAGGAGCAGCTCCAGTCAATCCAACTAAACAAGAACCTAATCTGAATCTAGAAATGGCTGCGAGCAAAATTGATTTTGCGCAAAGCAATGCTATAAAGTGTGATGTTTCTGATGGGAGTTGGGTGTTTGACGAGAGCTATCCGCTCTATGCGAGCAACGCGTGCCCATTTATAGATGAAGGATTCAGCTGTGAAGCTAATGGGAGAATGGACCAAAGCTATATGAAGCTTAGGTGGCAGCCTAAGCATTGCAGCATTCCAAGGTGTTGTTGCATTAGGGAATTTTTCTCGCTTCTTTGGTTGCTTAGGAATTTGGGTAGTACTAGAAGTTTGTCACTCACTAACTTAATGTGATAATTTTAGGTTTGATGCTAGGAAATTGCTTGAGATGCTGCGAGGAAAGCGACTAGTGTTTGTCGGAGATTCCATTAACAGGAACCAATGGGAATCCATGATGTGCTTGCTGAGTACGGAAATCTCAGATCCTGCAAGGATTCATGAAACTCGTGGCCACAAGATTAAGAAAGAGAAAGGATATTACAACTTTGAGTTCTTGGTTCGTATGTTCTGTAGCTGATGTGGAACTAGTTTGCTCAGTGTCTAGACTAGTGCATAATAGTCATCTAGGTGTCATTGTTGCAGGACTATAATTGCAGTGTGGAGTATCATGCCACCCATTTCTTGGTGCATGAAGCCAAGGCAAGAATGGGCCAGAAGGGCACAATGACGCTACGAATCGATACCATAGATCGGAGCTCGTCAAGATGGAAAGGTGCTGATGTGCTTATGTTCAACTCTACTCTTTGGTGGTCATGTCACAAAACAAATGATGGGTGAGGGTTGACTAATGTGAAGCAATGAATATAGTTCTTGTTCAAAAAGAAATAAAGTGCATTCTTCAATATTCTTGTTTCCTGTAACCTTGCAGAGAAACCCTAGCACCTGATGATTACATATCTGTTGCAGAGTGAATTTCTATCAAGAAGGAGATCATGTTCATCCATATCTTGATGCCTCCACTGCTTTCTAAAGAGCACTAACGACGTGGGCATCGTGGGTCGACCGCTACATCAATCCACAGCAAACTCGAGTGTTCTTCCGAAGCACATCCCCGTCGCATTTCAGGTTTGCTCTTCTACTGTTCAATCCGACAGGAACAACTTGAGAATTGTTGCTGTCTCCTCTATGGAGCATTTGGTTGTAAGATTTATCACTGATTTCAGCGGAGGAGAGTGGAATTCAGGGGGACACTGCAGAGAGAGCACACTAGGCCTTAATGACAGTCATGTATGGCCAATGCCTGAGATAAACGTGATGCTTGAGCAAGTCTCAAAGCAAATGAAGAATCCTGTGACAATTCTGAACATCACTGATCTATCCAGGCAAAGAATGGATGGTCACCCATCTGTTTATCGACGGAAGGGAGTAGATTTAACAGCATCGAGTGGCCAGGACTGCAGCCAATGGTGCCTTCCTGCGGTCCCAGACACATGGAATGAGCTGCTGTTCTACCATCTAGTGTCCTCACGAGAATAGGATGCAGTAACTGTTAGTTTGATCTCCACCCGACCAATTGGGCCCTGGATCAACGCCCTGATCGGGGGCGTCCAACCACTCCATGGTAGGTGGGCCCCCGTCGCCCAACACTGTAAAGGGAGGTGGGGGTCGGGGCTCTATCTACGAGGTTGACCTGAGCCACCACAACCCACCCACAGAGAAAAGCTAACTTGATATAAAGAGAGCGTGCTGAAGCAGCGGGAAGTGCCACCACTGGACCGCGGCACCTCGCGCCGCCGTAGGTCGCCGTCACTGCGCCACGCCTCCAACATCCTCGCCGGTGCCACTGCAACTACTACACCGACGCGAGGCGACTCGGACAGGATTCACTCTAGGCAACGATGACCTAGGGCGAGGTACACCACCAAGTTTCCCCATCTAAGTAAGAATTTATCACCTAATCTACGTTTAAGAGGTACAACGATCCTATCAATGGTATCAGAGCAAGGTTCTAGTGTAGATCTAAATTAGGGGTAGCAATTTAGAAGTAGATGAGAAAGATCCAATTTGGATCGAGACAGTGGGTTTGGTCAAACCCTAACCAGCTGGATCTACGATCGAGGAAGGGGAAGAACCAAAGAGACAGAGGGTTTGAACCCTAACTCAAACCCTAAGCACCAACCCAAACCCTAATTCCATCGGGGAGGATGAACAGCTAAACCTAACCCTAACCCTAACCCTAATCCCCAATCGGCAAAGAACCGAGAAGAACATAGCAAGATTCAAAGACAGAAGACTGAAAGGGGAAGAGGGGAAGTTAGAAAGTAGAAGGGGGTAGGGAAACTGACCTTTCTCCCTCTCCATCACCATATTCGCTCCGGGAAGATCGTCGGTGAGGTAACCCTAGATCGGCTGGCCTTAGGCCTCGCGCTGGGTCTTCGGGTCTTCCAGGTTGCACCATCGGTGAAAGGATCACCCACAGCGCCGCTCGACGGCGGCGCGCTCACCCTCGGGTGAAAGCGCTCGCCGACGAACGGGGCTGCGGGGGAGCCGAAGGGGCCGGCCAGGGGGACTGACCGGAGCGCGCGCGCGCCATCGCCTTAGCTAGGGCCGCCACTCCGCTCGCCTCCGCTCGCTCATCGGTGTTAGCTCATCAGCGGCGCACGGCTCTCACTCGAAGGCGCTCCGTCGCGGCTGAGAGAGAAGGGGAGAAGAGAAATGACGCTAGCGTTCCGGGGGAGGCTGCTGCGCGTCGGTTTTATTCCCGTGAGAAGCACGCTTAGCCATCGGATTAGAACGAACGGCGTAGAATCAATGGACCGGAGGCCGGCCCAGGCGGCCGCGCGTGGCCGCGTGGCTTTGCCAGCCCAGGCCCAGGTTGCGGCCTGGGTGCGGGCAGCACGCAGGCAAGGGAGCTGGGCCAGGTGGCTTTTTCCGTTTTGGGCCGAGAACCTGTCAAGATTGAGCCTAGTTTTTTTCTTTTTTTTCCAGTAAATGGTTATTTCTGGAAAATGAAAAATGGTTCAAAGAAAATAGAAGAAATGTGAATTTTTCTGTGGGTAAAATTCACAAATTATCTTTAAGTTTCCGCTGTAAAGTTTAATGTTTATTATCTTCCAATTAAATTCGAAACAATGGGAGAATTTAATTTGAAGAGTAGTTATATTTAGTAAATTATGATTATGTTGATCCTCTAATTAAATTGAAACCAACGGAAAAATTTAATTAGAGTAGTCCATTTTTGTTTGTGTTAAATTATGGTATTGTTATTTTCTGATCAACGTTGATGATAACAATATTATAATGAGTTTAAGTTTGAAGTTTAAATCTCTGAAAATTTTTACACCAACGTGGTGAATTTTTCAGAGTTGATAAGGAACAAGAAATGCTCCTGAACTAAAATAATGTATTCCATTTTTAAGTTTTCGTTGCAATGATGTTGATTATCTTCTAATTAAATTCGAACCAACGGGAGAATTTAATTTTGAAGAGTAGTTGTATAGGTTTCAAGTTAATTTATGAGTTTTATGCATTAATTCTATTTTCTGCCCAACGGTGATGTAGAATTAGTGCATAAGCATATTATATGTTTTATTTTTAACAGACGAGATTACTCGGCTGCATGCCAACGGGCTACAGTGCTGGGGTATGTGAATGAAAAGGCTTAAGTCAAGCCAGTTCAAGACATATTTTTGTTAGTTTACTAATTTTCTGATTAAAATTGGAACCAACGGGAAGATTTAATTGGAAAATAAAGTATAAGTGAATGTTTTAATCGTCATGACTAAGTTTTCGTATAGATGTATCCCGCATGGGAAGAAGTTTTGGCATAGTACTTATGTTAGTCAATCCTGCATGGCGGAAGAAGTTTTGTGATGACTTATATGTTTTTGTATCCCGTATAACGAGAGAAGTTTGGGTAGCTCTTATGCTATCCTAGTATTGACCATGGCACAATAGAAATACATCATCATGGTCAATACTAACCAAAGGATAAGAAAAAAAGATGCAAGTGTGACTTGCAAAAAATATCACAAATAAAAGACCTTGTTGAGTTCTTAAAGTGAATTAAGGAAAGTGTACTCTTAAACAGATCAAGGAATAACTTTGTTTACATGACACAATCATGTGAATGAAGTAAGTTATAAGTGTCTCCTCGTTTACAGGCTTTCTGAATAGTTATCGAAATTATGGCAGTAAAGTTCATGCTATATTTCGAGGGAGAGAATATAAAGATCAATTAAGAAAAATACTCTTCATTAAGAGTGAGATAAAGATTAATTAAGATGAATGCGATCGTTGGAGGAGTACAACTGTCACAACGTTGATACCCCTAAGCAGAGAAATAGCTAAATTTCTGGACCTTTTAAAGTTTTGACAGGAAGATAGCGTAGTTAGCCTCCAAGATGTTAAGGTGGTGCTTAAAGCGCCATATGAGGTTTTAACGGATTAAACCCAAAATAAGGTATTTGAAGATACACTATCTTTAGAAAAGATGAGAAGATCTGGGGAAGCATGGTATACAGAGGTATGTAGAGACCTAAGACTTGAAGAGAAGAGGGATTGTGTGCCCACTCCAGTGACTCAGGAGCAACAAGTTTCTCAATACCTGTTGATGTTGTATGACCAATACAACACCTGTTGTTAGCTCTTCGAAGAAGATGAATAATGTAAATAACGATCTTGTTATATAGGAGCCTGTAGAATCAATTGTCTCTTGGCAATGAAGAGCAACAACAGTCCCATATAAAAGTGTCAGTAGCTGAGGTCCCAGAAGGTCTCAAAGAATTAGTAAACTAGTTTTCTGATGACTATAAAGTCTATGTTAGTAAAGAAATTCAAATGAAGGATGATCCCACCTCACTTGAAGAGGCCATGAGAAACGTTTACTCGTTTGAATGGCAAGAAACTATGGAAGTTGAAATGAATTCGATGAATACCAACGATATTTGGGATTTAGAAGTAATTCCTAATGTAGCCAAAACAGTAGGCTATTAATGGGTCTACAAGACAAAATGTGACTTCAAAGGGAATGTAGAAAGATATAAAGCACGGCTTGTGGCAATATGCTTTAAGCAAAGAGAATGAATAGATTATAATGAGAGTTTTCTCTCCAGTCTTATGTAAGAATTCCTTTAGAATCATAATGGTGTTAATGGCAAATTACGATTTAAAGTTACATCAGATGGATGTAAAGACGGCATTCCTCAACGGGGATTTATAAGAAAACGATTACATGGCACAACCCAAAAAGGTTTTATCGTGGAAGAAAAGAATGTATGGGCCGCCTGTAGAAATCCATTTATGGGTTAAAACAAGTCTCTAGACAGTAGTATTTGACGTTGATGAAACGATAAGAAAGTTTGGGTTTTAAAGAAAATAAGAAGGATAATAGCGTTTATGCGAGGATCAAGAATGGAAAATTTATTTTCCACATCCTGTGAATAGATGACATTCTACTCATTAGTAGTGATGTTAATCTATCATTGGAGAAGAAGAAGTTTTGTCCTCAAGTTTTAATGTGAATGATCTTGGTGAAGCGTCATTGGTTCTAAGAATCAAAATTCACCGAGATAGAAGAAAATGGGGTATTAGGACTATCGCAAAGGCATACTTAGAAAAGATTCTAAGGAAGTAAAGTATGCATGCGAGTAAACATACGCCTGCTCCTATAGTCAAGGGTAATAGATTTAGAAACTTTAAGTGTTCTAGGAACCGATATGAGATCGATCAAATGAATATGGTTTCATATGCTTCAGCTGTTGGAAGCATGATGTGTGTACAAGTACAAGTAAGAACTTACCCTAATATAGTTTACGTATCCGGGATATTTTGGTAGAAGTCCAGTCAAGATATAGATCACTGGAATAGAGTTGAGAATGTCTTGCAATTTTGCAAAGTATCATAGGCCTCATGCTGAGTAAGAAAGAATAAGTGCTCTCAAATAGTTGAGGGTACAAAAATTAAGTCTTGGCGAGATGTGTAGTGAAATCCACAGCAGTTGCTAACACTCGCAGTTGGAGTATTATTGTGGAAAAGCTCCAAAGAAAACAGTTGTGGTGTCATCAGTGATGCATACCATAGTATAGCTTGACATGAGGCTTAAGGAATAGACAAAAGGAGGTTAAGGGAATATGTACCCGGATTTAACAATGGTAGACAACAGCAATAACCATTTTAAAGTAAGTTAATTCCTAAGACAACAAGTCAATGTGTGCCGCCAAACACATTGACACTAAGGTATATGTTGTAAAGGAGAAAACCCAAAATCATTTTGAAAGCATTGAGCACATAAGTACCAAATAAGTATTTGCGGATCCGCTTACCAAAGGCTAACCACCCAGTGCGTTCAGAGAACACACAGTTGAAGGGTCGAGATGGCGGACTAGAGGGGGGGTGAATAGTCTTTTCTAAAATTAATCGCGTCGGCTAACCGATATAAATGCGGAATTAAAACAATCGGTCTAGCCAAGACTACACCCCTCTATATATGTTCACTAGCACCTTGCAAAGATACTAATAAAGCAACTAAGGTGCCGGGCTAGCTAGAGCTCTCCTAAACAATTCTAGGAGCAAGGTCACACAAACCTATGCCACTAGTACTTTAAGTAACAAGGGAGCTCCTACACATGCTAGTAAGCAAAAGCACAAAGCTAACTAAGCTCACTAGCAATGCTCAATAACAAGGCAACCAATGCCTAATTAGAGAGCGCAAATACTTAGCTACACAAACTAAGCAATGTGACTAACAAGGTTACTAAAACCAAATTAGCCACGCAAGGAAGCTACTTCTATGCTACACAAGCAAGAAGGTAATTAGCTAGCTACACAAGCTATCTAATTACAAGAGCAACTACACAAGCTTAAGATATATATATAAGTAATTGCAAGCTTTTGTAATGGGGATGCAAACCAACGGGAAGAACAAGGTTGACACGATGATTTTTCTCCCGAGGTTCACGTGTTTGCCAACACGCTAGTCCCCAGCTGTGTCGACCGCTCACTTGGTGGTTCGGGCTAATTAGCATCACCCGCTAAGCCCGCACGTCGGGCACCGCAAGAACCTACCCCTTGAGTGAGGGTAGCTCAATGACACGCTTTACTAAGGTTGCTCTTCATGACTCCAGCGGGCGAGCACAATGCCCCTCACAAGCACTTCTTCCGGAGCGCCAGACAAGCTTCTTCTTGCGCGCTCGACGGAGACCACCACTGCCGCCTAGGAGGTGGCAACCTCCAAGAGTAACAAGCACCACCGGCTCGCAAACTCGATCACCTAGTGCCACTCGATGCAACCTCACGATGCAATCGCACTAGAATCGCTCACTCACACAATCGAATGATCACTATCAAGTATATATGTGATGGAGGGCTCCCAAGCACTCACAAGCATGGACACTAAGTCCCTTGAGGTGCTCAAGACACCAGCCATGGCCGAGGGCCACTTCTATTTATAGCCCCAAGGGCTAAACTAGCCGTTACCCTTCATCAAGCAACGGTCGGGACGACCGGACGCTCGGTCTCGATCGATCGGACGCGGACTCTGGACCTCAGCGTCCGTCGCGATGCACGCCACGTGTCCCCTCCTTCAAACGCTGTTCACTCGGATCTCAACGGTCATCTCGTCGATCGGACGCTCCCAAAGATGAACCCGACCGGACGCAAGAATTTCAAAGTCCGGCCGTTTCAAATAAGGTACCGACCTCGACCGGACGCGTCCGGTCACACTTGATCGGACGCAGCCAGTCCGGTCACACTCCACTTCTGTGTCATCGATATCACTGACCGGACGACGCACTTGCCAAATATCCGGGTGCATTCAGATCCAGCGTCCGGTCGGTTGACCGATGCCAAAGATCTTCGCGACTAACTCGCTTTTACTTCTAACTTCATCACCCTTGCTCCAATGTGCTAACCACAAGAACTTGCAACCGGCGCAATAGAAAATAGGCATTCTATTTTCCCGAAAGCGCCGAAAGAGGGACCCAAACCCATCTCACCCCTGTAAACACCACCTCCTTTGTAAATGTGCCAACACCACCAAGTGTACACCACCATGTGTATGTATGTTAGCATTTTCACAATCATTTCCCAAAGGATGTTAGCCACTCAACTTGCCACGCCACTCGATCCTAGCGACAATGCAAAGTTAGATCACTCGAGTGGCACTAGATGACCGATATGCAAACAAGTTTGCCCTCTCTGATAGTATCGCCATCTATCATAAACCCGGTCATAAACTTCTCTACACACCTATGACCGGTGAAATAAAATGCCCTAGGTTATACCTTTGCCTTGCGCATTCCATTCCATCTCCTCCAATGTTGATGCAACACATGCACCAACACGATCAACAATGATATGATCCACTTCGTATCATCACGTGATCATATTGGTTCATCGATCTTGACTTCACTTGCCCTTCACCGTTGCTATCGTCCATCGGCGCCAAGTCTTGCTCAAGCTTCACCGCCACGCGGTCCATCACTCCAAAGCCTTCGACTTGCCCTTCACGCTTACAACCGGTCCATCAAGCCAAGTCTTGTCTTGATCTTCTCCACCTTGATCACATGACTCAATGTCATGTCTCATGTGCAATAAGCTCCTTCATCATCACATGTGTGAGCTTTGCAACATCTCCAAGCCATTTTCACCTTCATGGCATATGTTGCTCACACACATGTACCTGTGGACTAATCACCTGTGTATCTCACATAAACACAATTAGTCCACCTAGGTTGTCACTCAATTACCAAAACCAACAAGGACCTTTCAATAGTCGACATGAGTTTATGGGAAAGCCTATGATTTCTGGATGCTAAGGGCCTAGTTGAGTATTTGTTTCAAAACAGATAGGTGCGTCGTAGCTGTTTAATCTAATGGTAACAGACCGTGACGATGAGGCACGCTCTATGCACTGATCTGTGATAAAATGGGAACGAAATAAAGTAAGTAAGTTAAGTTTAAGGAATAAGGTGAGATCAAGGGGGAGAATGTTAGTTTGATCTCCACCAATTGGGTCCTAGATCAACGCCCTAATCGGGGGCGTCCAACCACTCCATGGTTGGTGGGCCCCCGTCGCACAGCACCATAAAGGGAGGTTGACCTGAGCTGCCGCAACCCACCCACAGAGAAAAGCTAACCTGATATAAAGAGAGCGTGCTGAAGCGGCGGGAAGTGCCACCACTGGACCGCGGCACCTCGCGCTGCCGTCGGTCGCCGTCACTACGCCACGCCTCCAACATTCTCGCCGGTGCCACTGCAACTACTACACCGACGCGAGCCGACTCGGACAGGATTCACTCTAGGCAACGATGACCTAGGGCGAGGTACACCACCAAGTTTCCCCATCTAAATAAGAATTTATCACCTGATCTACGTTTAAGAGGTACAATGATCCTATCAGTAACAAGGTAAGTTGATTCATTGATTGTGAAAATGTAAGTTGATTCATTGATTGTGAAAAGATAGCAATTGGTCAGATATTCAGATGTCAATTGTAAGTGTAAATGTAAGTTGATTCATTGACTGTAAAAAGAGAGCAATTGGAGTTTTTAGGGATCGTTTCAAATGTGTTTTTAGGGATAATTTGTTTTACAACGAAGACACCGTGGTTAGACAATTGGACTGATAAACAAATTGAACTACAATGAGTCAGTGAGCATTTGGCCTTTGCTCATAGTTGCTCCAACAACTCCAGACCGTGGGGATCACCCCCACAGTTTGTGCCCTTATAAAAAAACAAGAATTCTTTTTTCATTTGTTATTGTATATAATTCTATTGACCAGTGATGGAAGTTATAATGTCTATCATCGTATAAACTAAATGGCCCTTGTATATTGAAATAAGATCAAAGCATGTGTCAACTGGAATTTTATCGCTCCCTTATACATACCACAAATATATCAAGGACATGTGGGTGATCCTCAAAATTTCTGGATTTCCTTTGGAACGCAAGGAATTTCAAAAGATTCAATTTATTTTATTAGAACTTGTGAAAAGCAAACGAGACCTGGTGTTTTAATCTCTTTATTTATTTCATAATAATGCTCCTTATAGTTGACAATAGATTTATTCCGAACGTGGCTAACAAAAATGTGAGAAGCGATGCCAACTGCCTCTCTTGAATGTCCAAGAAAGGTGGGGGCAGACCGCAGACGGACAGTTACACTTACTCCACGACACCTGAAGCTCCCGTTCCGTTTCCGTTACACTGACCCTCCTGGCTCCCCCGGTCCTCCCTCCCTCTCCCTCTTCTTTTTCTCTCCAGCCCGGCAGCCCCTGCTTGAGGCTCCCTCTCCCTCCGGAAGCCGCACGGCTAGCGATTGCCGTACCATCCGCCCTTGTTTCCTTCCTGCAGCACGGAGCAATGGAGAGGCAGAGGAGCTCCTCCTCCTCGTACCGGCTCTTTAGTCCCAAGTGCCTCCTCCTCCTGTCCTTCGGCTCCTCCTCCCTCCTCTTCTCCTTCCTCTTCGCGCTTTTCGTCGTCCGCCACGGCCGCCCCCTCCACCTCCCATTCGCCATGCCCAACGACTCCACCGCGGCCCTTGCACGGTCACCGCCTCTTGGGAGCGGTGGGGGTTCCATGGTCGGCGCAGTGGCGCTCGCGCCGGAGGCCGGTTATGCGGTCCGTGGGCGCGGGAGTGGAGATTCAGTGGCGGATGGAGCCCTCCACGCGGTTGCCGGAGACCTGTCGGCTCGGGGCGTGGGCTCGGCAATGGAGGTGGAAGAAGCGGTTACCGGAGGAGGAAATGGTGGAGCACCCGCGACTGGTAAGGTTTTGGAGGTGCAAGAGATTGCAGAAGCTGGGAAGAACTCTATTGGAGCCTCGGATTTGGCTATGGATGCTAAAGAAGTGCCCGGTGTGGGAGGAGATGACGAGAAGTTGGGGAAATTTTCCGTTCGGAAGGAAAACTTGCCCGAGGACAAGGATCTTAGCAGACAACACGCTGGTTCGGAAACAAAGACGCAGTTAAATGCTGGCACTGGCAATGCGTCTGCTTCACAGGAAGTAGCTGCATCAATGGTGAAATCGGAGGGAGGAGAGTCTCTGAGAACTGTCAATTTATCCGTCGAAGCTTCAGGTGCTGCAATGGAGGTGAGTGGTGAATCTGTGCAAGACGATCTTGTGGTTGTGGGGGATAAGCACAACTCCTCAGTACAAGCAGCTTATGCTTCTCAACAAGGGGAGCAACTTGAAAGCTCAGATCATTCAGCAGGGAATAATAATTCTGGGGGAGCTCCGGTCAATCAAAATAAGCAAGATCCTAATCTGATTGAGGAAGCGGTCACGAGCAAAACGGATTCTACACGAAGCAATACCATACATTGTGATGTTTATGATGGGAGTTGGGTGTTTGATGAGACCTATCCACTCTACACGAGCGATTCATGCCCGTTTATAGATGAAGGATTCAGCTGTGGAGCAAATGGAAGAATGGATCAAAGATACATGAAGTGGAGGTGGCAGCCTAAGCATTGCAATATACCGAGGTATTTGTTGCACTCCTGCAATTCCTTAGCTTTTTGGTTGCTTAGAAGTTTTGCAATTTGCTAACTTCTTGAAATAAAACTTAGGTTTAATGCTAGGAAAATGCTTGAGATGCTGCGAGGAAAGCGACTAGTGTTTATTGGGGACTCCATTAACAGAAACCAGTGGGAATCCATGATGTGCTTGCTGAGAACGGCTGTCTCAGATCCTGGAAGGATTCATGAAACCCATGGCCGCAGGATTACTAAAGAGAAGGGTGATTACAACTTCAAGTTCTTGGTTAGTATTTCCTGTATCTGACTATGAGTAGTCCATTCATCAATGTCTAGGCTTGTAGATGGTAATCATCTTGGTATGGTTGTTGCAGGACAACAACTGTAGTGTGGAATATCATGTGACACATTTCTTGGTGCATGAAAGCAAGGCGAGAATTGGCCAGAAGCGCATGAAGACACTACGGATCGATACCATTCATCGGAGCTCATCAAGATGGAAAGGTGCTGATGTGCTTGTGTTCAACACTGCCCATTGGTGGTCGCATCACAAAACACAATCTGGGTGAGTATTGACTAATGTGAATGACAATCACATCAGATGAACAGAGTTTTTATTTGGAATCAACTGTCAAACAACTCCAACCATTGACACTATTTTTCTTCTTTAAAAAAACTAGAGCTTATAGAATAAAATAACCAAATCATGTTATTAAAAATCTGATTATCACATATACTTTGCAGAGTGAACTATTATCAGGAGGGAGACCATGTTCATCCCCATCTCGATGCCTCTACCGCTTTCCAAAGAGCACTAACCACCTGGGCATCCTGGGTGGACAGGTACATCAATCCACAGCTAACTCAAGTGTTCTTCCGAAGCTCATCCCCGTCGCATTTCAGGTTTGGTCTTTGACTAGTCAATCTAACATGAGTGTCATAAGAGCTGCTGTTGTCTCCTCTGTGCAAGCAGGTCGATGTAACTAGTTGTCGTCAATTTCAGCGGTAGGGAGTGGAATTCAGGGGGACACTGCAGAGAGAGCATGCTGCCCCTTAATGACACCCATGCTAAGCCGGTACCTGAGAGAAACGTGATCTTGGAACAAGTCACGAAGCAAATGAAGACTCCTGTGACAATTCTGAACATCACTAATCTATCTGGGATCAGGATAGATGGTCACCCATCTGTATATGGCCGGAAGACGATAGATTTAACCGCATCGAGCGTACAGGATTGCAGCCACTGGTGCCTTCCTGGAGTCCCAGATACATGGAATGAACTGTTATTCTACCATCTACTGTCGCCACAAGAAAAAGATGTAACAAGTTAGTGGCTGAATTATTTGCCCGCTCATCTTTTTTATGGCGCAGCCTCTGTAAATGTTAATTTGATTTGAAAAGAGGGCGCAAGTGCAAAATCAGTCAATCATGCTTGTCTCTGCAGTCTGTGCACCCTCTCTGCAACCAATAATGTGACATGCAAATAGCCTACTATCAGGTTCTAGAAACACTCCTAATGAATCATCAAATACTTTCAGGAATAAAGTGTACATTTAGCAAATAAATTTCATCTTACCAAAATTTTTTTTTACAAACAAGCCTATTGTTGTAGCCATCTCAGCTATTTGATACTATAGCAATAGCCACTCCAGTTTGAAAACCTTTCATCTTTTCTCAACCTAACAAGGTTGTCACCTTCCGACCTAAGGTCCACAAATGTTTATATGCATTTATTCTCCAACTTGATGTCTGAGTTTATTTACTAAAATATATAGTATGTTTATCTACTAGCAAAGTCCTCGTGTAATGACTAGGACTAAATCATGTATTAAATATAAAATTTACTGCATATTTGTATCATCCGGAGCGACTCTGCGCTATCGAGCAACTTTGTGTGCTCGATGGTGAGAGACGGATGCTTCGTCCTTCTTTGATCCCTCGGGTCTCCTAGCCCAAGCTGGAGCCTGGTCAGGCCCATAACGATAATCATAAAAGAGTTCCTCGCTAGCCTCAATATGCTCCTTCGCATAGATACCAACCCGATGGTCGCCAGCCACCAACATCACCTGGAAAGTAGGATGAATTTAAGATGAGCGACATAATAAAGAACTAAATGATATTCAGTAATTGCAATTCTTACCTTTGCATAGCAGTTGGGGTTAGATGAGTGATTTGCGAACTTCAATTTGTCCCCCTTGCGATAAGCATCCAATACATACTGTATAAAAGTATTGAATTCAGCTTACTGCTTTGAATTAAACAAATATTCCAATCCAATGAAGAAAGAGAGGAGGGACAAGAAGCACCTGGTCATTTAAATCAAACAGAAATGATGAGTTTGCCCGGTCATAAATTTTGCCGCGTTTGTCTGCTTCCTTGTGAGAGATCAATTCACCAGTATATTCTCCAAGATAATCATTTTTATGTACAGGATTCTACATATTGCAAGGAAAGTAAAAAGAAAATTAGCCAGAACAAGAAAGAAAGTATCACACTCAGAGGTTTTTGTTCGGTTATCTGACCTTAATGAATGCACCCCAACCTGCAACATCAGATCTTCCTAACAAAATCTGGTCCATGGTAAACAATTAATGCAGTTAGCATTAGTAGAGTGTAGTGATACAAAGGGACAAATAGCACCGCGAATATACTCAGTCTCACCCTTTGCTGTTGTTTCAAAAGGAGCTTCATATTTCCACACTGATAGCCATCACCTCTTGCAGGTGGCTCACCTAGTGAACCATCTCCACAGCTGAAGACAATAGACATCATGTTATGAGTGATAAACTATAATAGTACAAATCAGAAATATGAATATGACAATAGAACAAGAAAGGCAGTTAACAAAAATTACAGTTTCTTGAGTCTTGACCCTGTTGTATGATTATTTTAACTAGTTCATGAATGCATAAAGGTCAATTGTTAATTAGACCAGTGCTGATTACCTCACCCAGCAATTCCTACAAACATCTGGATCACATTCACGATTGGCTGCAAAACAGGGGCACTGTCTGCTTCTGCATTGACTTTTTGCACAATGACAGCCTCTAAACTTGTTTTTGCAGCTCTTCGAACACCTATATTGATTAATCATGACACATGAGTATTCAGAAATGAAATCAGTATAATTTTTTTACTCTGCATTTTCATTAGTAAAAATATACGAAATAATTGTCAGTTCATACTTAATCACTAGGAGAACGGGGGTACAGGAACAACAGAAATCTATCTGCTCAATAAAAAAGGGAAAGTTAGCATAACTTGGGACGCACCCACAGTACTTTTCGCAGCAAGTTCCATTTTCCACAGAGGGGCAATCTTTACCACACATTTGCTGGCAAACACATGGGTTATATTGTGTGTACCATTGCTTCCCATCACCAATTCTTTTTCTAACAGTTGGATGCCCTGCAGACTTCCAAGTATATTTCAGCTTTCGATTGCGGCCCCTCCGACGATAGATTCTTGTTCTGGCAACCATGTCTTGCTCCTAGAAGACAAGGACAAATAATCATATTATTACTAGCATAACAATGCCAACAGAAAAACAAAGGTTTTTTTGAGCTGTAATAATAGTAGGCGAAAAGAAATATATTGAAATACAAAAGGACTGTACAGATGCTTATGAAAACAACAAAAGAAAAGGAAACCATATGAAACAGAGAGGAAAAAAATTAACAAGGGTGGCAAGCCAATCTAAGAAAAGACTCCTAGCTGGTTATATTTTTTACTTGTCAGTTTGACTGTGGAGTGGTAGTGAGGCCATATATTAGTCACTTCATTTGTTGAGCCAGGGTCTTAAAAGCTGACCTCTGGCATGGTCGTACCCATAGTCATGAGCCCAGACAACCAGGTGGTTTAATCAGGGGAAAAGAAAGTGGATAAGTAACTTCATCCAACAGCTGCTGGAGAAAACTGGATTTGGGTTCTGAGAAGAATGATCCAGCCCAAGCAGATGGTGCTGATTATTGCTTCACAAAAGCATCCGGAGATGGGGTTCAAAACAAGCACATCCACAGTTGATGAAACCAGCCAACTAAGCATGTGAGCTTATGCTGTTATGTGTTCACTAGAGAAGAGCAGCCTATAAGGCCTTAGAACCTGCATGCATCACTATTGCAACCTCGTTTTTTTTCTCATCTATTTATTTATTATATATAAAACAAAACTCACATTCCAACCATTCATCTAATGACCCCAGTTTGGATCTGGTAACATGGGTGGCAACAGGTCTGATCCCAAAAGGAAAGCCGTTTTACTTACCCCCGTAGTTGCATATTTTACCTGTTTTCTGGCACTGTGTAAACTAACAATTCCTTGATTTTTCTCCTGTTGCCTCAACAATATTACAAATGTTATTCCCAAAAGGATAAAAAATTATCCTCGTAAAAACCCTAATCTGTAACCCTCATAAAATACCGTGCAATAAATAAAAGTCATTGTATGTGATACCTTGTCCCCTACTCTCATGGCCGATCATAACAAACAATAATCACAACAGCATAGTAATAGGCTGAATTCAGACCAACGTGGGCTACCAACAGTTTACATACTTCTAACCATTCTGATCTGAGACCAATGAGGCAAAGCACACCAGCTAACAGGGCAAGAAAGTGCATACCATGTAGTCTTGTTCAGTTTCTTCAAAGTCGCCTGAGATGGATTTATTCAAGAGAGGTCTCTTCGCCATCGCTGCACCATTGTTATACATGTAGTTGGCCACTTCCATGCAGGTCTTCAGACCAGATAGTAAGTTTCTGGCAATGAGACAGCTGTGACCGATGCACACAAAGGTCATACAACTAGGGAATCAAATTATCAAATTAAACTAATAATGGAACTCCTTTTTCAGCAAGCCTAGGGAAACTAAAAAATATAATAAAATAAAATGTTTCATTACATACAACATATAATTACCTGTTCTTTCCAAATATCTCTATGCCCTTCAAGTATAGATCTCGCTCTAAGGCACTCCAACAAGAAAGAGTGTGCTCCAATAAATTCTTTGTTGAAGATACTTTATTACTCTCTCTTCCCACATTATCAGTAGTAGTAGTTGGGCTTTCTCCACAGATATCTTTGCTTGAAGTCTTCTTAGTGGACTCGTCAACAATTCGTAGTTTATCACCCCCAGATTCTCTAGACCCTTGTCTTGTGTCACGAATCTCCGGAATGGAAAGTTTATTCAGTATATTGCTTGCAAAAGAAATGTCAGAAGTGAAAACCTTCTGCCTTTTGCCAGGAGAACGCTCCCTGTACCTAGGTCCATGTTTTGAAATCTTGTGTTTCCTTAAACTACTGGGAGGCAAATCAGAGGATACATTCTCTGTTTCAGAGGTATCTGCTGAAGGCGGAGTAGTGCTTTCTTCAGCACTAACAGAAGAAATTATTTTTGATCCACTGGTTCCAACTAGTTTGGGACTTAAAGGCTTTGTTGTTGTTGTTGTTGTGGTTCCAACTAGTGTCATGGATCTAATGTTGCCTTTCTCTCGGTTTGAATCTTCTGATTCAGACATAATATTAACATCAACTTTGTGTGAGGCAGTTCCTGATTCCATAGTATATGTTGCACAGCCACCAAGACCATCATCATGCATCTCTTGAAATCCTTCTCTCCACTGGGGAAACTAAAATTTAAGTTAGCCCTGGCACACAATAAAGTAATGCCACGAATCTTTATGGAAATATACAAGCTCAATGGGATAAATGCACGGGTCAATTTAAAGCATTTCTATTCCTTAGAAAAAAAAACATATAGGTGGAGCTGTGTGCCTGCCTTCTGGCTACATCAACCATGGGTTCTGGGTCCAATTGTCCTGGTAAACCATGTGCCATGAGAGTAGCATTATGCCATAATAAGTTTTAGTTATATACTCGCAATACCACTAACGGACACCACACCCCGTTCACTCGCTCCCCAACTTGTGGCGCTCTGCTTGCCTCTGTGAAACCCTAGGCGGCCACTGCACCTGCCCGCTCACCACCACCACATCTTGGCACGTAGCGGGCATCTATGCTGCATTCAACAGCATAGCTGCTCCGTCCAATATGCCACCCACCCCTCCATTCCAATGGCCCTCAATTTCACATGTACTGTCACTCGTCGTTGTCGTCATCCACTCCATAAAGTAGGATAGTAGAGCAGCGCTCATCACTTGCAGTAATGAAATACTAGATCACTAATCTCGTTTCCTAATTCCAAACCCCAAATCCCCAATAAAATTGCTTCTCCCTCTCAATCCCCCTCCATCGCTTCATCTCTTGACATCTCGCTGTGATGTCCAATTATTCCAGTCCACGGGTTGGGGAAGGCGGTTGCAGCCAATCACGTGTGCAGCAGTAGGAGCAAGCTGCACAGTGCAACCATGAAAGAAGGGCCAAGGCGCAGGGGATAGTACAGGCAGGGCAGGCCTACTATGGAGGATGGAGCAGGAAAGATTTTTACGAAGGTCTACTATGGAGTCATCTGTGTATTCGATTCGGGAAGCTCAGATAAATCAAAATGGGTTTCTCTTTTTTTCATGGCAGTCTGGTATGGTGTCTACTCCACAACAACAAAAATGGATTTATACCTCTCTGAGTAATTCCAGTCTAGGATTTTAATATTTGTTAATGGATATGCTTCAGAGCTCTGATGGTATTATTTTCATGCTCCCGGCCTAGCACATAACATAGAGTTCATGATGTTTAACTAAGCTGATGCACGTATATTATTATTTGTTAGGGAAATCCTTCTGTTACTTTGATGTGTCTGACTTTTCGGGGAGAAATAAGGCAGCCAAGTATTTGTGCTTTGACAGAATTCGTCTTTTTAGTGCCAGCTACATGAATATCACACTGTCAGTCACTAGCACCGGAATTAGGAGGCAATCAATTGGGAAGGGAAATTCTACTCGGCTGAATCAGCATTGGAGTTAAGTTGTGAGTGCCAGCAACATCATTGCTATCTAACCATGATCAACGTGTTCTCATTTATTTGGTAATTATATATATGCTGACACAGGTAATGATGTTTTTATTCGAATATTATTTTTCCATCTCCAATCACGGGCAGTGCTGGAGCTGACGCAGCGTTCCACGTAGGACGAGGGGTGAAGTTGAGCTGAAAAGAAAAGTATGAGGTGACTGAAACACACTTTGATAGTTCATGGATGATTTTTTTTTTTTTGAACCAGGAAAACAGCAAGGTATGCACCCACTGTTAGCTTTTATTAAAACAAAAAAAAAGCAATCACTGTGCAAAACAGAAGGAAACACTCCAGCTAAGCCTGAGTGAGGCAAGAACAAGAAGAAAAATTAAGAAACACTATACATAGGAATCAACCCAGGAGAGAAAACAGATCGCTTGTTTCCAGAAATGCAAAGTTTGAGGACTGAAATGGTCACTTTGATAGTTTTGGGATGAAACTGAACCCAAAAGAAAACTGAGGATTAACAGTCATTTTGAAAGTTTGGGAGGAGATAGTTGAGAGACTAAAATGACTATTCCACCTTTTGATTCTGTGAGAAACTTTGGGGCAGAGGAAGTTACAGAGCAAGACTTATTGATGGAAAAAAAATACAGGAAGTGGTAATGAATGACGAGGAAGAATAAAGTATTATAGAAGATGGAGAAATCTGGGATTTACTCTACAAAATCCATGTATAGGTGGAAGACCTTCTGAGGCGGTTCTATGCAAAAGAAGGAAGAAATTGTGGAGGAATAGGATGCCCCTAAAGCTGACAGTTCTGGAACAATGAAAATGGAAAGGGGGATGCTAATTGCACCATCTGTAATTGCCCAGAAATTGTAGATCATGTTTTCCTTTTGTGTTTTAGCTAAATTCTGTTGGGCGGTCATCAAAGACGCACTTTTCGATAGGATAGGACACCTACAAATATGCAATATTTCCTAGATGAATGGTTAATGCTAGGGGGAAAAGATTATAACCTGAAGCTGTTCTCTTTTCGGTGGTTACTTGAGCATTGTGGACAACTCGAAAAATAAAATGATGATTGAGAAAAATTTCCAAAATCGCCAACTGAAGTGTTATTCAAAATGTCCAACTACTTGCAGAGATGGAAGATTCTACTGAGGCTGGCAGAGAAATCAAAGGTGGAACACATGGGCAGCGACGGAGTACCTCTTGAAGAACAAGAAGCCTCGAGATATGGAGGAGCTGCTGTAAGGGTTGCGTGAGAGGGACAGCGCCTTTTCTTTTCCAATCTTGTCCGGTTGCCTGTGTGTCGCGCGCTTTGCTTTTGGGAGTCTAGAATCTTTCTTAGCAGTTTGCTGCTGTTAGTGGTTTTCTCCTGGTTTCTTTGTAAGCTGGTCTCCCCAGCAAGTTGCAGACATTGTAAACACATTTGCTTTCTTATAAGCACGGTTATACTTTGTCAAAAAAAAAAAAAAGGTGCCAGTGAAAAATAGGTCGAAATCATCTAGAAGTTGTAGAAAAGAGGTATTTTAAGGATTGTGAAAGAGGCTAAAAACAACAAGTATTTAGAACTGGAGGAGCAGCCAATATGGTAGTAAATTTCATTCTTGAGGAGACATACTCGGAAGGTAGCACTGATGACCACATGGCTTCTTGTTTTCATCAGGCTCAAGGCTGTAGGGTTGCTTCTCACACTGACAAACAAAATATTTTCATTTACTTAGCAGGGAAAAAATAGAAATTTCAAATGCAAATGATCTGTTTACTTACTGGGAATACCAAATTCTGTGAGCAACCATGGAGGCGGCAATCAAAAACCTGAGTGAACAAATGTCCTAGGTAAATCTCAACCTTGAAAGTTTAGTTGAACCAATCGGCAAAACACAGCCTTGAAAACAGGAAATAAAAGCAACAGAATGCCAGAAGTGGAATTATACCAAGCATCTGCGGCAGAAGAGATTATCAAAAGAATCCAGAACGGCATCCATAGTTTTGTCCAGAGAAAGTTGGCTCTCTATCTTATCTGAAGATGCAGAGTGCTTCTCATTTTTCTCAAATAGAACTTCAGATCTTTCCTGTCATTTTAAGGAAAAAGCAGAGTCGCTATCAAATTTTGGGCATCTTATAAGTTGAACAAATGTAGGGACAGTTAATATTTATGGTATACAAGTCACTTCACTAACTTAAAAATATTATTAAAAAGGTAGACAACCTCAATTTCTGATGGAGTTGCATCAATAAACTGGCAGAGGACATTAACAACCTCTCGGTTTAACCCATGCTCTTGAGTAGCTCTCCTGTAGAAGTTGCATAAAATCAGATAAACATGAATTCATATAGAAAAAATAAAGGTCAATTTCTTATTCCAGTGTGCAAAATTAGCTAAATTCCATGTTAGACACCATGGGAACTGTACAGTAAAGCTTGTGTTGGAACCACTTCAGTAGACTATGCTGCATAGGGCATAACCCTATAGGGTATGTATAATGCTCAAGGCAACAAGCAGGTGGAAATTTGGCATATCAAGCAGGCCTTGCAACTAACTTTGCAACCAATTTCCTCAGGCACCGCACATCTGGTTTCTTTCAGTGAATGTAGTGGCCTGGTTCTGATACATGGATCTTACCTTAATATTACAACTTTTTTTTTTTTGGGGGTGAGGGGAGGTGTGGGGCTTAGAACCTGTTTAAATTTTGAAATATTTTGTAATTTAGTTTACCATATCATTTTTAATGAGGATATTACCATATCAATTGATCTTCTCCTCTGTGAAAAAAGTGTTTCTCTTCCTCTGGTTCTGGGATTTCTTCATCACTGTCACTGCAGATCAGAGCCTCATTTCCGACTGGATCATAGTAAATTCTTCTCCTACCAACAACTGACTGATCGTCGGCCATTCTTTGGTTTCTCTGCGCTGTGTTATTTAGAAGATAGTAAAATATCAAAAAGAAAAAGGATGCAATACTTATTCCAAATCGTTATATCTACAAGCTTGCATGCACATAACTACAGTCCAATCTCCTTAGAGTGACCATGAATATCACAAAATAGTGCCCTTGGTCATCCCATTTGGAAAACATATGAACACAAGAATACCAATATCTAAAGTGTCGGATGTGTGATGGTAATAAAGATATAAAATGAATATCACAGATGCTGATAGAGTTCCCACAGCTGAAGGGTATGGAAATTTGCTGTTTTTTTTCAAAAGTTTTATATTTTATTATCATATGACTAAAGTACTCCTACATTGGTTTGGAGCATCGTATAAGCACATGCATTATCGATTACCCAGTCCATAATCTCACTCTAAGATCAATTTGGCACATGAGGTCATGAGCTCCAAGAAAAATTGCGAAGCAGCATAATAAGACGTAATCAGAGGGGGGAGGGGTGTAGGCAACAGCACCATACTTGTCCAGGAAGATCCAAGTGGTGTACGGAGGGATCCTCTCAACCAACGGCAGCTTCACGAACCGCACGACTGTCCGCTGCGCGGCAGCGCCCGAGCTAGAGAGCACGAGCGTCCCGACCGCTAGGTTCTCCTCTTGCATGTACACCAAGTCCCTCTCCGCTATCCCGTTTGCCAGATCTGACCCAGTGAACCTGGACTGTCCCTCCGCCGCGCGCTGCGACAGCGCGTTGCCGCCATCGGTGCCCCTCGACGCCACTTCCGCCGCCGCTGCCACGTCGAACAGCGCGCAGGAGTGCCTCTGCAGCGTCTTCCTGTTCGCCTCCAATTTCTCCTGCAAAGAGAGCCAAACACCCAATCCACCGCCACATCCGATTGAGAAAACTAAACCCGATGCTCCGCCCCCGAAATTTCAGTGACATGATGATCGGGCCGTGCGCGGTCGCTCACCTTGATGTACGCGAGGCGCCCCGATTTGATTTGGCGTATCAGCTGCGTCAGGTTCCCGTGGATCGGGACAGTAGAGGCGGCAGCGGCGTCCCTGCACATCATCCCCTGATCCGACCGCTGCAGGGCACAGAAAACAGGGAGAGAATCGAAACCAATCAGATTGGGGAGATCGTGCCGGTGAACCCGGGGCGGATGAAATCGAGAGGCCGCGCGCACCTTGGATCGTTGGGAGGAGGAGTCTGAGGTCTTCGACGACGAAGCCATGGCGGGCGGTGGCGCGAGTTCTGCGACGGCCCCCTTGGCCTCCGTCTCCACTCCTTGCGAGACCCGCTGTTCTGTTCCGCTCTGTCGCGGTAAAGGTAGGGCCGACGCTGGCTCTGCGTACCTGTCCGTGACAAGTAGGGAGGATCCGAAGGACGGGCCTAGCTGTCAGAAACAGAAGGTGGCCTTCGGACGCGTGCGGCCGTTTCTAGCGCGGGGCTCCGTGGCTCCGTGGTGAGCTTGCTGCCGGCTGCTGGCTGCCAGTTTCGGCGGCGTTAGGCGGCTCACGCGCGGCGTAGGCACGTCTGGTTGTGCTTGGTTGGTGGGCCAGCCCTTAGCCTGGTTTCTACATTCAATTTTAGGCCTGTTTTAGTTTTCAAAAATTTTCACCCTAAACTATCACATCGAATCTTGCGGTATATGTATGGAGTATTAAATATAGATAAAAAAAACTAATTAAACAATTTGGTTGGAAATCACGGGAGGCGGATGTTTTAAGACTAATTAGTCCATGATTAGCCATAAGTCTTCTACGGTGACTAACATGCGCTTAATGATGGATTATTAGTTAGGTTTAATAAATCCGTCTCATGCTTCCGCACGAGTTATATAATTAGTTTTTTTATTATTATCAAAAACCCTTCCGATATCCCCGAAACATCCGATGTGACATCAAAAAATTTCATTTCGCGAACTAAACACAGCCTTAGTCTGTTTGGTTGCAAGGGGCTGGGATCTGACTTGGGCTGGCCAACAGTACAGTTGGAGTCCGGTCCAGGTTGAACGCCCGATTCGCCCGTTCTTTCCTGGCCAGACCAGAGCCAGCCACGTGATTCGTTCGCATCACCTCCCATCCTGTTCGCTACCTCCTTGTTTTCGGTTCCTCACCGCGCCGCTTGTAGCGTCGCACCGCACCGCCCGCACTGCCCACTGGGGAAGAGGTCTTTTTTCGTTTGGCGATTTAATAATTAAATTCCCTCCATCCAAAATCCAAAAAGAATCATTTCTAGTTGTGTCCTAAACCAAACTATCTTAAATTGGAAGCTTATATTAAAACACTAATAAGATTAGATTTATCATGAAATATATCTACATAATCTATCTATTTGGTATCATAAATATTTATACTATTCTCTATAACTTTAATCAAACTTAACTTATGCTGACTTATGACCATGGTTTTTAGCTTCAAAAACCATGCCTAAGACAAAAACAAAAAATGTACAAAAAATAGAACAGACATATTATAATTTACATTAATGAAGATTTTTGTAATATATTTCTCAAGGCAGGACTTAGATATACACGCATCATATACCTAGGAACAACTAATAAATTAAGATTGATTTTACTTTTTACGTGCAGTATTAGATTTATCCTAAGTCAAACATTTTTTATGCTTGACCATCATTTTTTGAAAAAAAAACTATATAGTTTCACAACATGTGAATTATATATTATGAAATTATTTTTTATAGTGAATCTAAATACATAAATATTACCCATGTTCTAAATTATAAGTCGTTTTGATTTTTTTGGTACATCCATTTGCTATGTATTTTGATATAATAATATGTCTAGATACATAGTAAAATGGATGAAGCAAAAAAGTCAAAACGACTTATAATTTAGAACGAAGGGAGTATGTTATTAGCTAATACAGTTTTTTTAAATTGATGGTCAAAAATAGAAATGTTTGACTTTGTTTGGATAAACCTAATATGACATAAAAAACAACGGAGAAGTATTTGCCTCGCTATTGTTAGGCACAATATATACATTAAAAATGTATTATGCATAAATGTGAACAATTATGTAAGTTAGAGACTCCTAGCTCCGTCTGCATCTATTCTTTAGCTTGCAAGCATATGCCAAACTTATCCCAACATTTAACTGTATTTGCGTAGGCTTACATACATCATATTATCATGTTACTCGATTTATTCGGATGGACACCATAAGTTTATGCCGTTGTGTGGACATAAAACAAAACGCTAATGTGACGAAGCTAAAAAGAAAAAACATGATCCGTAGGGGTATAACCTTTTTCAAGGCGTTGTTATTGAACTAGAAGATTTGTGATGCTTGGAAGCTAAAAAGCCTTGCAGTCCAAGAAAAAACCCTAGATCCGGATTTTATCGGTGCATCCTGGCTTTTGCTGAGGAGATGATATTTTAACGATGCACGTCTACACTACTGATGCATCATCTTTTTTTTTCTATGTCCACACAAGAAAACGACCCCTACTGAAATGTCCCTCTAAATCTACCTCAAAAAGCGTACCCAGAAAAACAATTCATTTCAAACAAACCGTCCAAATACATTATAAGCTTTCTCTCTTCTTACCCATTATACAATCGAGGACCTAGATTGAATTGAATATATCAAATCGCCTCGTTCTCCACACCTAGATTGAATTGAATATATCAAATCGTCTCGTTCTCCACCGCACCACGTCATACAGCCCCACCCAGTATTAGGGCACTCACAATACAGACTCTACCCATAGAGTCTTAACATCAAAGACTTCATCACAAGAAACCATGCTCCCCAGTGCAAAGTTTGTAATAGTAGTTTCTAGAGATAAAAGAATTTATTATGCAGCACAAACAAAGCTGATCAGCCGTGGCATACTACATGTGATCCACCCTACACCTCACTGCAGCTATCACCAGGATATTCGATCAACCGGCAATTAAACCAAACAAGCAGTATATCACTAAACACAACGCATACACTAGTGTATCGCTAGAAGGATCCAAAATCATACTCGACACAACTTCGATGGAAGTTCAGATAATAGCTAGCCATGAGTCATCCATTACAATACCAATAAGGATAGAAATATAAATACCAGTGGTGTCGGATACCGTGAGAAGGGGTACCCTAAGCAAGATCCAAAAAACGACTGCTTAGATTTCGTAAAGATCGAAACCAGCTAAACGCTGCTGGCCTCGGCCGATTCTCCGACTTCGCCCGAGGCCCCATCACCAGCATGAACCTCGGCCGATTCTCCGACTACCTGAGGCCTCATCACCGCTGGACCTCACCCGATTCTCCGATTAAGCCCGAGGCCCCCACCACGGGCCTCGGTCGATTCCCCATAAAAGGCCTCGGCCGAGGCCACCGACCCTCCGTCTCGCGCAAAGGCGGGCTCAAGACACTCACTACCTCTTCCTTCTCCCGTCCCCTCGGCAAAACGTCAGTGTCGCATCAACTCGATAGCTGCACGCTTCGACAATGACCGCATGCCCGGCCAAGATGCAATGAGAATGGCCGATGGGACAGAGGCGGATCTGGCGGGGTTACCCGCCATCAGACTAACCACCGTGCACATGGGTTGGCGCCCATGCCTCACTATCTTGCCAACTCCTGCACCGAGGACAATGCAGCGTGGGGAGCCACATCCGGCTCTCAGGCCTCGGAATCGATGCCAGGAGCAATAATTCCCTCAAGGCCTCGGCAGCTTGCTCCGAGGCTCGGCGGCACCGAGGACCCATGTCCGCCAAAGCCCCCAGATATGGCTTGGCCTCGGCACCTCTGAGCCGTAGCCCCCTCACGACGCATCATCACGCGATGACTGCCGTCCCCCGGATGGGGCGGGGTTACCCGTCACTATGCTATCCACCGTGCACATGGTTGACACCCATGCCTCATCAGGTCTTTGCCAACTCCTGCTCCAAAGACAACGCGGCATGGGGAGCCACGTCTGACTCTCGTGGCCTCGGGAATCGATACCGGGGCCAATAACTCCCCAAGGCCTCGACGGTTTGCTTCACGGGCTCGGCGGCTGAGGGTCCATGACCACCGAGCCCCCCACGATGGCTCGGCCTCGGCATCTGCAGAGCCATTGCTCCCTCACGACGTCATTACACGGCGACCAAAGACGTCGCCCGCCATGTCTCGCATCATCAAGCCGTCTGAGAGCCCACGACGCACAAGACCGAGTATGACCAAATGTCACTTCCGCCACGACAAGGGCGGGGCCACTCCATCGACCATACCACAACAAAGGGCCGACTACGAGGCTCGGACACGCCACCCCATTCTGAAGCGCTATGTAGCACCACATGCACGGTCCCGGTCCTCCCTTAGAGTATAAAAGGGAGGGATGGGGCCATTCTGAGGAGGCGGAAAAGACGAACACGCCCGATAGAACCCACGCGCTCTCCTACGCCGCTTGGGAACAACGCCTCAAGCAGCCCGCACCACACTCGCCGAGACCTGGGGCTAGTTCCCTCTCTCACCTAGCTTGTAACCCCCTACTACGAGCACTCCGGTGCAAGGAATACAAGATCGATCTCTCGGACTGGACGTAGGGCCTCGATTGCTGAACCAGTATAAACCTTGTGTCTCTTTGCGCCACCATCCGGGATTAGGGGCACGCAAAGACAAATTCACTCGTTGGTTGAGGGACCCCGGTTCCAAAACACCGGCAGTTAGCGCGCCGCCGTAGGGGCGCTGCGTGTCAGCCTTCGTCATCCTAGCAAGTTCCGGATGGCAGACTACATACGACCATTGCGTCTCGGCACCATAGTTTGGTTGGGGAGCCTAGAGTTCATGTCTCTAGGGCATGAGTACGACATGGTGCTCCTCACTCCTCGAACCCCACCGTCCAGACGATGAAGTCGCCCGGCAGCCAGTAGCGCGCGGCGCCGCGGCCGGCCGCTCTGCCACGCCGCCAGCACGACACGCGAGCAAGGCCACCGACGCCACTCTGCGAGCCTGTGGCGACACGCCTCTCCCCGCCGATGTCCCTCGACCCGGTGTTGATGCGGGGTCCTGGTACGGGACCCGTCGACTGAGCACGGACGAAGGAAAATCGCCGGTGGCTTACTGGCGATGCCCGGTCGTCTAACCCGCTCCGCCACTCCTGAAGAGCCGACCCGTGGCGGCGAATATGGAGACGGCCCGTCCCCATACCCTTTTGGGTTGAGAAATGCCGCCGCCTCTTACGCCTCGCTTACGCCGCCACTCACGAGCACCCCTCGGAACGCCGCCGC